TAGGTTCATAAAACTTTGGATCTGCTAATGGAACATTTGATGGGATTTGTATGGACTTTAAATCTATTCTGATTTGTGGTAATCTTTCTGTAATCGTGGGTAATGTCAAACATTCAAGAGTAGTCTGATAACTTGTTTGTCTAGACTTGACTTTGATGAACACAATGATGTATTCGTTTCTGATCTATTGACTCCAGAAATCTTCTCTTTCTGCCTTTTACTTTTTAATTTGAGTTTTCTTACTAAATTCTCCGGTACAATATTTGATTGTGACCTAAGATTTAACAGTATACGACAAACGTGTTGATTTCCCTCCACGTCTTCCACTTACACTAATGCTGTGGACAGGATGACATGTGCCATTGAATTTTTCAGAAACTTGATACCGGATGTTGGTTCTTCGGATAATTTATCTTTTTTCAATTGTGTGCAGTGTGTTACCACTGATTTTGACTTTCATGCTCTAGACTTTTTTGATTTGTCGGTTCATTATTCCTTTCCAGATGTAGTAGAGTATTGTGTTTTTTGTGACACTTTTTACACGTTGAAGTTTTGCATGCTTGTGCGTAATGACCTTTCGCTAGGCAATTCATACATAGATTTTTTGATCTAGTTTCTGTAATTCTATCTGCAACTGACAGTTTCAAAAATCTTGGACATTTAAATACTGCATGACTTTCTTGACAAATTATACACCGCCATGAGATATTGAAGCTACTAAAACTTTTTTTTCAAATTTTTTAGCTTTTTCTTGATAAAAATGTTCTTGCTTGGTCTTTCCTCTATCTACTAGTTCCAATCTATGACAACGTTCACTTAAAAAGGTTAAAAAATGTTCTAATAGAAGTTTTTTGTCTTTGTCTCTATTCACTTCCTCCTCCTAATCCTTTTGTGTATGATAATCGACCTTGCCTCTTGTTAAATGTATTATTAATTCATCCCAATGTTGTACCGGTAATTGTAATGTCTTCAGTGCTTTCAAGTGCGATCTAGTATGCACTATAAGCTGTTTGATTGACGTTGGCTTATCTTTTCCTATAGTCGGAAAGTCCAGCAATTGATTTAAATGTGTGTTAATAAGAAGTTTTTTGTTTTCATATGTCTTTATTAATAATTCCCAAGCATTGTTATAATTATTTTCAGACGTTTCTAGACTGTCAATGACTTGTGATGCCTCTCCAGTCAATGCACTTCTTAAATATTGATACTTTTAACCATCTGACAATCCAGTATTTCCATGAATCATAGACATTTGTCATTGTCAGCTTTAAACTCCGGTAATTTAAGTGTTGGTAATTTAACATCCATTTTGTGCTCATTTTCTCTAGGTGCTCTTTGTTGACCTTCTCTATGTTGATTTGGTTGGTCGATGATACTTTGGAAACATGTCTCGTAGTAAATTTTCTCAAATTCACTCATTTCGATTTCAGATTCTTCTTCTAATTGATGCTGTTGTGCCTCCTTATCTTCATTTCGCAATTCTGTTTGAAGCTCCAATTGGTTAATCTTGTCTTCTAAAAGCCTGAGTTGTATTTATTCAAAATTCCCCAACATTTCTTCGAGTTTTTTCATTTTGATTCTTGCTTCAACCGGGGTTTGTTCTTATTGAGTTAAACTATTTTTTAATCGAGTTAACTGACCTTTAATTAAGACTCTTCTTTGTAGAAGCTATTTTGTTGCATTTTCTTGATTATTGAGGTTATGATGCTGTGTCTTTACTCGAGCCCCACGTTGGGCGCCAATGTTTTTGTTGAAGGGCTTGTAAATAACGTAAATTCTGGATTTAACTGAACACAGATTTATTCGTGATTACACTCAATCGCCGTCTTGGGTTACAAGTGAACATAGTAATTTTCTATAGTCTGAGACAATGGGCCGCACACGTTAGAATGCATTAATTCGCCCGGAGCTTCCGATCGTGTACCGCGTTCCCCGAAAGTTAAACGGTGCATTTTTCCTAAAACGCAACCATCACAAAATTCACCACTGTTTTCTTCAACTTTTATGTTCTTCGATTTTAAAACATTTTTCACATGTTGCTTGTTTTGGTGAGCTAATCTCTCATGTCACAATTGCAATGAATTCTCTTTTAACTCGTAAATTTATCTTGTATAAATTATCGTGCTCAATGCCTGTGGCAACTATCTCTTTATCTTTACAAATATGCAATCTCTGCCGTTATTTTTGATTAAGAAATCAATCCCCTCTTTGGCGGACATCTTCACGAAAAATAGATTGTATACCATTTCCGGAGTGTACAAAACTTCCTGAATCACACCCGGTAACCATTTGTTGTGTGCCAACGTTTCAATTTCTATTAGTCCTTTTCCGATAGCTTTCACCGTTGTACCGTTTCCAATGTTTAATAATACCGGTTCCGAAAACGATTCAAAAGTCACGTTATGATTATTCGTCATGTGGTCCGATGCACCCGAATCAATAATCCATAAATCTCGTTTCTCAACTTGAGACAAATTTCCCACAAAAGCGGTAGGTTCCACAACCTTTTCTGGGCCATTCCTTCTTCTGTTTCTCTCTTCGCTTGATTTCTTCTGTTTTGAACAATTTTTGGCGAAGTGCTGTTTCGATCCACAATTAAAGCATCCTGGGCAATCTTTTCTAAAATGTCCCTTGCTTCCACAGGTAAAACAACCATTCTTCTTTGTTGATCCAAATTGTTTTCGCTGAAACCTATCTCTGCCAAATGACTTCGAAACCAATACAACTGTGTCTTCTTTATCATTATGAGAATTTTCTTACATTCTCATCTCTTCAGTCAGCAACCGAGTTGTCAAGTTAGCAAGTGTTCCTTTTGTCATTTCGGTTGAGTCCCATGCACTGTGAAAATGACTGAACTGCGGCGGAAGTGTCGATAGAATTCTAGTTAATAACATCGACTCGGGAATCTTACCACCCAATCGCTTCATTTTGGTACTTACTGTTCCAATTTTGAAATATGCGCTGCCATTCCCACTGTTGAAACCCATTTGTACTCGAAAAACTCTTTTTGTACCAGCGATAAACTTTCTTCCGATTGAAGATCGTATACATTGTGCAATTTTTGCCACATTTGCCCTGAAGTTTCACAATTTATTATATCTTGTAGCGGTTTTTCTTCGACTGTAGTGACAATCAATTTCTTTGCCATCTTGTCTCGTTTCTTCCATGATGCTAGACGAGCTTCATGATTCTCACCCCCAGAAGGTGCTTCTTCTGTTCCATTGCAGATTTCTAACAAATCATCTGAGTCCAGGAGTGTTTTGATAACAAACTGCCATTGCTGCCAGTTCTCAGCTCCACGAAGTTTTTCAACTCTTACTTTCTCGCTCTCCATTTTGTACCCACACCCGCGAAAACGACGCGAACTACTTTCCGAACTTCAACCGCAAATTCGACGCCTGTCAGGGTTGCGATAAAAAGTGAGGACAGTAGTTTTAATGAGGATAATTTAATTAATAATATTGAAATGTGTAGTTTACAAAATGAGAGCTGAACCAAGACTAAAGACTACTTAACTATTAACTGTTTTCTTACATATTACTTCTATACAAAAAATAACTGTTTTCTTACAGACTAAACAAACAAATTCGGCGACTATCGAACACATCAATAGATTTATGATTTCCTATACATGGCTGTTTATTAATCTGACGCACGGCTACACGTCGCCGTTGTAATATAAACAATTACCAGTCTCAACAAACAGTCCCTTTGTCTCCTACATATTTAGCTGAGACAGCTTAGACGTAACTGTTACACAAAAATGATCCGAAACAATCACACATTGGTTTGTTAAGCCTACCGCCTCTAATAGATCGATCAACTATATGAAACACGTTGACATTTTTGATTCATTTTTATAATTACATTAGTTCGACATATGTGTTACCTAATAAGTACGATTTGTTTTTGTTGCTGTTGTCATCTCCCGTTGCTTAGTGGTCAGAGCATTGGTGCGTAAAGCCAAGGGTTCGATTCCCGGCTAGGGTGTGACAACCGCAACAATTTTTCCCTCATTAACCTGAGGTAGTTTATAGTAAGTACAAAATTGAAAACTGAATTTTCAACTACCATTCAACCATCCGTTACATTTAAAAATTAACACAGTATTTAATTTACTAGACCGAGCCATTTTATTAGCAGGCAAATCCTTTCATCATAGCAATATTAAAAAAGTAAAAAGAATTTTACACAACAATAACTATACACATCAGTATCCAAATAAATTAATTTCACAACCTCTTATTTTTGATGATAAATTAACATTATTTAAGCTCAGCGTAAAATTCCCAAATAAAAGATAAAAACATTCGAATAACTTCGAATACCACCGTTACTTTTAGATGTATGTGTATAGAAATGTTTAGCATTCAAAATGAATATTTTGGTATTTTTAATAACATTTATTAAACAACAACAAAAAAATGAGAAAGAACGTAAAATTCAGCAACGTTGAAAGGTAAACAACAAAAGAAAACAGTTCAGTTATTGATGTGTACTCGCGGATAGCTACTTAACCACTTAACTACTGATTTTCGAAACGAGGATATACATTTGCAAAAGGTAACCGCACCCCGTCAATGCTTGTTTAGATAGCAGGCCGCCAAAGGGTGCCGCTACAATTAGTGCACCGCCATCACACACAGACGAGCGATCAGGAGCCGCCAAATGCATGGTGGCCCATGTTATAAATGTTAAATTTTGTGTATTCTTAAACTATACCTGTTTGAACTTTTGACATGTGCATAATTATATTTCGCATAGCTTTTAATAGTAAACGAATAACGCGACAGTTACCGTTTCTGTACTTATACTTCTCTCCGTACACCAAGACGAAGTAGCGGAAATAGAAATTGTATTTCTATTGCTTCGTATATATCTCCATTTTGCAATATAAACACAAGGATAAATTTAAAATGAATATTTTAAATACTTTAACATAAGATACAAATTTTGGTCCACGTTACTTTAAACTGCTTTCCATATATCTTTATTTTCAGAAACACCATTCGGTAGACTCCCTGTACTAGAAATTGATGGCAAGCCAGTGGCGGAAACTTTAGCAATAGCGCGATATCTAGCTAAAGTATATGGCCTCAATGGGAAAAATGATTGGGAAGACCTGAAATGTGACGAGTTAGTAGGCGCCTTAGATGACCTCAAACAAGGTGCGTAACTATTTCTACTGTGTATAATAACTGTGTAATCGGGAAGCTTATTGTTTTTACCTCAGCGTTACAACCTATGGTTCCTCGTGTAGTTAAAACGTACGACGTCAGAATTGCTTTTTAATAAAACACTATTTTAACAAATTTATTTGGTTCGGTTTTATTACCCTTTATTATTTAATGTATTATTAAAGATGACAAGTGTTAAAAGATTAAATAGGTTAAACCATTAAATTAGAATGTTAATTAAATGAAAAACGTACATGCTTATATATACTAATAAGATTTCTTACTGTTTAGCTTTTGTCAGTTTCTTTACCCTTTTGGGGTTGTTTTGTCTTGATTATGTTAACGGATTTTGTCGAACAAATTAGAGGGTCGTGACGGTAGTGTGGTAGATGTTTTAATAATTTGGAATATTTTCGCGGGAAAAGGTGATTCTCCTCTTAGATAGATAAATTTTAGTATATGCATTTTTTTTTTTAAGAGTACCCGTAATAGCATCAAGCGGAATGAAAGACTCATCACAATTTTCTTGAACACTGTTAATTAAATATGTATAGTCATTAGAGGTGTGATGGGTTAATGACAAGTATTAATTTCGTTTTGCATGATAGTGTAAGGTTTAGAGAAATAGATGACCAATGGTGTAAGATGGTTGGTAAAGATTTGATAAAGCATACGTCGCATTTACTGATGTAAAACGTGATCAATTTCTGTAAATTTGGTTACTAAAATTGTGTTCTGAAATGGATATATGTCTCTTAGATGTCATTATGATTAGTATAATGATAGCTTGATATGAGTTCAAGGGCCTTTTCTCTGTTGTAGGGGTTAAATCAAGAAGGGTTTTTGTAAAGGTAATATTATTTATTGTTTATTGTTTTCTAATAATATTTCATGTAGTGCTTGAAATACAGTGTTGAAAAGTGTAGTTAATTTTGTTTTAAGAATGTATTCTTACTTGAATAGGTACTTTAATGAGTGTGTTAGTTACTTGATGTTCTAGCCAAACTAGTGTTTGTTCGTCTTCTAAAATAACGTTAATTCTATATCTACCATTTGGTAGTGTTTTAATCGTAAATTTGCGTTTTCCTAATTTAAATGTGAATTGATTTCATTGGACGTAGTGGGTCTTCATTATTGAAATGTACAGTGATGAAGTCATCATTTTCATTATTGGGTTAAACTAGTTCGGATAATTGGGCAAGAAGTTCATCAACTTCTTCGGGTGGTAAAAGATCTAGGTCTTGGTCTGAACAAAGGTAGTGAATAGTGAATAATGAATAACGAATAGTGATTCTGTGTCAAAATCTTCTTCTGCTTCAAGGACGTTTATTTCTGCTCGAGAAAGTATGTCCGCCACATGATTTTCTTTTCCTTTTATATGTTTAATTTCAAAATTAAACTCGCAGTGTTAAGGCAGCAGGTAGAGTTAATCTGTGTCCTATCGAAACTATTTGTGAAGCGCTGATGAGATCCAACAAGATCGAAATCGCGATCCTCGTCAAGCTATTTTGAGAGAATACTGACAACTTCGAATTTCTTCATTCTTTTATAAATTCCTTCCAAATCTATGTAGTTTTGGTTGTGGAGATCTGTGTACCAAAATTTTCCTGTTCATTTTCTTTTTCTAATAATTAAAATTGTCAGGTTCGTAGGGGGTGTCGTTTTTGAAAGGTTAGACGGATACACAAATAAGCATTTCCGCATTCGTCATAAACATACGGATCTTGATGTACATTAGTTAATTCTTTAACAAGGAAGTTAGGTCCTTGTTGATTTCGAAAATTATTAGGTCTTTAATATTGAGAGTTATGAGGTTATCTAAATTGAGCGACGGTACTCAAAGAATCGTCACCTGTACTTGAGGGTTATTATTTTGAGTATTCTTGTTTTGTTGTTGGAATAATGAATGAGGCTTAGGCGTAGTAAAGAGTCTGAAATGAGCATTTCTATTTAATAAAGGAAATTGTTGCCTAGGAATTTGTTGAAAAGTTTGGCGTTAGTAAAAAATTATCTTTGCATAGGACTAAAATTTTGTCGAAGTGCAAGGTAATTTGTTTGTGTTTGTAGTTTTTACGTAGGAGTGTTGTGTGTGTATGACTTTTTTGAATAACCTGTCATTTACCTATATAGCTCTAACTTCTTATATCCATTATCTAGTTCCTTGCAATAATTGAGTGTCTGTGATAAAGAAATTGGCATTCTTATTTTTGGATCCGAATAGCAAAGTCCTGAGATAATGAAATAGGTCGTCTCATTGTTGAGCCAGAATAATAAAGTTCACCTACAGATAATTTGGGAATTGTCAGTTCTTCCTTTTATCGTGACTCATTAATGTGTTTTGAATTGGATCATCTTCAAAAATACCTGCTAATTTAGTTAAACTAGTCTGAATTTTGTCAAAAAAATCTTCCATAGATTCACAAGGTTTTCTAAAGCATGAAATTAACTAATTGAATAGTAATTCAGCGTTTTCAAGAGATTTGAATTTGGTTGTGATTAAAGTTTTTAGAGTAGATCAATCTCTTGGCTTTTCTTCTAAATATACAATTTCTGCTTTGCCTGTTAATTTGTTCACAGTGTGTCGAATTTTAAATTTCTATAGGCTGCAGTTGTGCTTTGGACATACTTAAAGTTTTAACCGAGTATCGAATAGTGTCACATTTATGTAGTTTAAAGAGTATGTTTCTGCGAGTGAGGTTAGAGTGCCTGAATAAAATGAGTTGGGTTTTACTTGGGTATGGTTTTTATATGCCATTTGCTGAACCATAGTTCTAGATGTTGAATTTGTCGATTTAATTGGATGTTGCATAATTTAGCGGTTTTACCGATAACTCGATAAGCGGTGCCACCTGCGTATTATGCTAGGCTTATGAAATTATTGATGGGCTGCGGTATATCATAGCGGTAAATGTTGTATAAAATTGGTGCAAAATCTCCAGAGAGCGTATTACCGATTTTTTACTTTGCAAGGCCTGTTTGATGAAAATGAAAATTTTACAAAAAAGAAGAAGGTTGATATCTAATGATTTGTATAATAGTCCGTTGTGCCGAATTATGTCGAAAGCTCTCTAGGAGTCGTGCGACTGCTCAATGAAATAAAAAAAAAACTTTAAACTTTTGTGTGTTTCAATTCCCACCAACCACTCATGCTACGGAACCATTTCCAAGGGCCATTACTCTCCTAACGATCTTTGAGCATACTAGTTAGTTCAACAGCTGCGTTCTCAGTGTGTGTGTAATTTATATACTAATTTATTGATATTGCTTGATCTGCGAAATTTTTTGCAATTTGTATTGAATTTTTTATTCATTAACAAAACCATTTTAGATCATCAAACTTTGACAAAACATGTCTTCTTTTATTCCGAAGTTACCGCCAGAATTTCATCAAAAAGATGTTGAGCATATTGGGAAATTTTTTTTGGAGATGTTTAATTGTTTTTACAATTCCATTGTGTTACTACTCTGATAGTTCTTTACTGTTTCAAATTGAATTTCTTTGTTTTATGCATTAATCAAATTTTTGGTAAATTTAATAATTGTGAAAGGTGAAACTTGATATTATTTCTTCAAATAATCTAAAAAGATGTTTTCTAATTCTGGACCATTGAAGTAAATTGCTATTGTTCCTTTGGTAGAAAATTATTCTTTTATTGAGTCTTGTATATTGTTTTATATTTGGTCTTACTTTTAAAAGCGTTTTTGATTTAAAATGTTGCTTTAGTTTGATGGGGTACGTTGTTTTGACTAATTTAAGGATTGTAAGTGTTAATAGGTTTTTCGCCAATCGAAAATGCAGACAAATTACTTTCTTCTATAGTAAGTTGCGTTGATTGTTCTTCTTCTTGGCTTGCTTGTTGGTTCCAGTATTCTTGTGTTATTATCAGCATCGCTAAGTAGGGGAATTCCGGGAGAATTGAACCGCTTTTGGTTTAAAGTATCGTATTTTCTTATAAATAAGGCTTAGTGATTCAATTATAATAATAAACAGTAGCTTATTTATTTAGGTTTACTTATGCATAATTACTTTTTCGATATTATAATACTGAAATATATATATTTGAATGAAAAATGGGATATGAGTCAACTCTCCCCACCCTTAGGGCCACTTAAACCGGGGTCTGGGGAGAGTTGAACATTTCTTTTTAAAGGGGAAAATAAAATCAATTTGCACCTTAAATCACAGATATATTAAACTAAACATCATAAAATGAAATTAAATTATAAAGAAACACAGTTATTGCTCTTCTTATTAAGAAAAAGAAAACAAAACTTCTACATATTTAACATTTCACAATCAACATAATTATTCAACATTTTGTTAACAAAATTAAATATTTAACGTTTCTTTAATCAAACTTGTTGGTCATTCCTAACCTTTTGTTTAAATTATATACTTATTCTAATCATTTGGTATCATCAATCTGTCGTAATAATTACCTTCAATCGGCTGGTAAACTAAAAATCTAATTCTGGTCACATTCATGACAAATGAAATTATCAATATCTTTAGAAACTTCGTCAAAATGTTTTAAATTTCTACATCCATAAAATAAAACCACTGAACATATCTCCCGTACCCGCNATTCATGACAAATGAAATTATCAATATCTTTAGAAACTTCGTCAAAATGTTTTAAATTTCTACATCCATAAAATAAAACCACTGAACATATCTCCCGTACCCGCCATGGTGCAAGCCTCCCGCATATACTATACTTTGACATTAAATTTTACTCACAGGAAAAACAATCAATCTTAGCGAAAAAACACTTAGCCCACGTCAAACAACAGTAATCAGACAGTACAATAGTAATAACATGCAATACGTACCTGTATAAACACATCCGCAATCTCAAAACTACATAAAATAATAAAATTTACTCCGCCGTAACAAAAATACCTTTCCCAACTTGAGAGCCAAACAAACGGACCATTGTAAAAAATCGCGGCATTCTGGTTATTGGCTTCGCGTGCTCTACCAATGACCGTCTTGATGTTTCGTTAATGCGAAATTTAAGTTGAGTTTTAAAAGGTGGTTCAACTCTCCCAGCTAAGCAAGTCTCCCGGACTTCCCCTACTTCATCGGCACTATAGACAAGGCTTCTAGGTCTTTGACGGTTGTTTCCTAAATGTTCAATTTCCAAGTATTTATTTCGAGTCTGCTCAAAGCATCTGCTACCTTATTTTTTGCCTTTTTTGTAGCGGATATCAAAATCGTAATCAACAAGTCGAATTTTCCATCCTGCAAATCTTCAGTTTGTTCTTGTGTTATGGTTAATCACTTTTTTTGGTCTCTTTTGATAATAAAACATTTGTCAAATAATGTGTTTACAATAATCAATGACGGTTAGTCGTTCTTTTTCGATAACTCCATATTTTCCCTGAGCTGTATAATTGCGGGTGAGTAAATCGCTAGATTTTCCACTTTGTAATAAAAATGAACTTGCTGGCGTAATAACTTGCATCTGTCGGTAATGTAAACGTCTTTGTAAAATCTAGGTACGCATTTACCAGTGCGTTGGTTATCAAATCTTTATACTAGGTGTTTCTGAAATAAATAGCAACCTTGCAGGAGGTGACAGGGCACTATAAAATAAGAAAATTAAGTAAATGTTTACAGGCTTGAATGTTCACTGTTTTTGAGGAAAACGTAGTTGAAGGTAGAGGCAATTCTAATTTCGGCCCTGCAGAGAAGTGCGACAGTGCAAGCCGCAATGAATCAGCATGTAAATAGAAGCAGATGATAGTATTTCTCTTGTATTCTTTGCTCTAATGTAGTTCAGAGCCGGGCAAACTTTAACTTCGCAGGAGTCGCTACATGAAGTTAGTTTGAGTCACTCCATACCCTTCAATGAGTACGAGAGAGTAAGCAGTAATGAATAATTTTGTTTTGTCTTTTTCTTCTCCCTTCTACTCCCATATCAAGCCCCTTCATCCCGTAGACGAGCGATACCACTCTCGCAACTTATATAATACCTACGAAAATTTTCGTTACTACGTTCGCAAAACTATTGGGTTTGACTATGGAAGAGGGGACTCATCTACGAAATGGAAGGGATAAGAAAAGGAAAGAATCATCACACTCGCACTCGCAGGATCAATGAGGATCTACTTGGTTAACCTTGAGGAGCACTCGGAATGCAAAAGAGCCGAGTTTGCCCGGCTCTGATGTAGTTTATTATTTGTTAGACTAGATTAACAGTGATTCAAGTTGTTTATGTTATATCCAACTGCAGTTAGTAGTTATATGTTTTTTTAACGTTGTGACTTTGATGTATTTAGTTAATCAATATACGTCAGTGTGTCTGAGTTAATGCAACGCTCAAATTGTAGAGTAAACCGCTATATTTGCGGGTCGTGAGCATCAACGCCGAAACCATATCGCCGTAAGAAGATGAAATAGAATAATTTTTATATAAGACTACCCCCAAAATAGTACGCGCGAAATAGCACGTAACGTTGGCTCCTTTCATATAATAGTTTGACCTCCTCTCAAATAATAGTGTGACAAATGCTAAAGGAGCGTTTACTGCATTCTTATGATTTACGGCAAATACAAGCATTGCAGGAAACTGATTTTCAGCGGCTAGTAGATTTGTATGAGTGGTTTCGACAGGAAAGTACTGCAGAGCCCAATTGTTTTCATAGTATTGTTTACGAATAAATGTTGTTTCAAGAAATAATGATAGTCGGTATTGGTGTGACTGCCAAACTTTTTTGCTGGGTGTGTAAGGGCTGATAAGCGGTCCAGCTTAAGGGCTTTTGAATTTGTTCTTGTATTTGCCTTTTCTTTTTCTAATATTATGTTTGTACTTGGTTAGTAAATATTAATCTATCTTCATTTTTATGATACATTTCTGTTTACTTATTTGTCCGTTCTAATAATTTTAATGTTTAAATGGTCCATTGTTAAAATATTTTTAATGTCAATGTATTCTCTTGGAAAAGATGTAGTAGACGAAGTGAAATGATCATGATTAAATTTTGGTTGTAAGGTAGGGGGCTGATTATATAAATTTAGTAAACAAAAAAATCGAGTAAAAACATTTGCGTCCTTTTGATTATTTTGGTAATCCAAAATTTGCCACATATGCGCTTATTTATCGAGAATACGGCTTTCTTCAAAACCATCCTCGAGTGTATTAGTCCTTCAATGTCTTAAATCTGAATGATACGGTTCTGTATTCCGGCATAATGGTGTAATGTAGCCTTCTCTTCATTTTTGATTTAGTTTACTAACTATCTTTATTATTTAAGCGAACAAAATCCAACAAGTTTGCCGAATAAGGTCATCCTATTTTTCTAGCAAATGTTTCTTCAAGGGAACTCGATTGTTGACAATTTTCATACTGATACAGCGAGCGGCTTTTTCAGGAATACAACTTATAATTTAACTAAGCAATGCTATGTTTTTTATGGATAGATCATTACCACCATGAATAGAACATCACAATATTCTGCCTTTTGAAGGTTCGCCAGAATATTTAGGAACCGCACATATTTGACGTTGTGCATCAGAAGACTGGGGATTTGACAGGGTGATTTCGTTTCAGAAATTTAAAGTGAGGAATCTGATGCAACCTTTGAGTGAAGAAAAAGTTTGACATCGAATACCGTTCTGTTTCAGTATCAGATTCGGAAAGTAATATTAACAGTTTAGTTGCATAAAAAAAAAATAAAGGAATTATGAAAATGTATTTACAATATTAGGTTAAGAAAGGTAAACATCATTACTGACTTTGTTTGCAGCGCCATGTATTTTTCTTTAAAGTTAAAGGTCGTTTTAAAAAACAGAGAGAAACTTTACTTAAACGAATTTATAAGGGGACATAAAAAATGAGATGTATAAAATACCAATACATTTATGTAAATAACTAAAAACTCTCATCAGAAGTATTTATAATTCGGCGTTCTTCTAACACTTACAATTTTTTACTGTGCTGCAGGAAATGTGCTAGGCACATCTGGCACGTTGTTACGATCGTTCGTTATTTTAGCTCAACTGTTTGATTATCATCATCATGAAGTCGTCAGTCCTAAGACTGATTGGGCACGAACCTCCACTCTTTCCTGTCCTGAGCTAATCTTCGCATTTCCCTAAAACGAGAACAACCTACAACCTTAACTATTTGCGAACAGTAATCTAATCTAGGTTTGCCTCTACCCCTCGTAACTCCCATTTATGCCCCTAATATTTCTCTGACTAGACCTTCATTCCTGAGAAGGTGTCCTACTAACCTATCTCGCGCATTTCTTATTGACTTCCATAGTCCTCTGTTCTCCTATTGCTTCTAATACCTCTTCATTTCTAACCTTCTCTATTCACGGTATCCTCATCATTCGCCTGTAACACCACATTTCGAACACTTCTAACCTTTTCTTTTCCGCCGCGCCCACTGTCCATATTTGGCACGCGTACAGCGCCGCGCTCCAAACATACACCTTTAACAACGTTTCTAAATTAACCGTTCGCTAGCATAGAAATGACTTCTTTTTATTGAAGGAAACTCGACGCTGCGCTCTACTCTGCTTTACATCCCTACTATTCCTTCTGTCCTGATCTAAAATCAGCCACTTCTTCTAATTCGTCGTCAACTATCTTTATATTCGCCCTTTTCCCACTTTTTCTTCCGTTGCATACCAGTATTTTTGTTTTACTTTTATTTATTTTCCAATAATACTGTTTTCTGCAAATCTAAGCATACCAATTTTTGCCCCTGTATATCTATCCCTACAGTTGTACTATCCTTAATGATAGCGTCTTCGATGTATAGATTAAAATGTAGCGGTGACAATCCCTGTCTGAATCCCTTGTAGTAGTAATAAAATGCAATATATAATTTGTCAATCATTATCGAAATTATAGCGACACCTTATCGTTGTTATATAAAAGTAACATTAAATATAGTAAATGTTTTGTTTATTCATTCATTACGAAGTAAGTGCAAAATCAACCCTAAATTCAGAAAATTCGTTTCCCTCTTTGAATCACTAAAGAAAATGAAGTTTGTAAGTAATTCCCTAAATGCAGTAATAATTTTGAAAAATTTAAATTTGTTTAAGGACAAAACCTTAACACACGGACGAAACAAGATTTCGTGCTTCTTACTCTTTTCTTATTGTTCTACAGGAGTTGTAGTAATTGCTATAGCTATTGTTATTGTTATTTCTTGCAGGAGTTGGACAATTTAGACGAGAAGAAGATCCTGTGAAAAAAGAGGAGTTGAAAGTAAAGTTAATGAGAGAAATAATTCCCTTCTACTTGGCCAAGTTTGAAAAGATCGTCTCGGAAAATAATGGACACTGCGTGGGTTCTAATGTAAGCAATTAGTTAGTTATAATTTCATCAGCATGTCTCTATAAATCTCTAGTATACGTAGTTTGCATATTTTAAGTTCTCTACTAAAATTGAAAAAGAGAATTAAGAGAATGTCTGTATGTTTGTTACAAAAAGTTTTTCTCTACAAAGTAAAGGAAATTGTACGAAAAAATCTTTATTAGTACCTACCTAATGGCTATCGAGAAATATACATAGTGGCAATTTTTAGATCGATTAAGTGGCTTTCTTAAAGAAGAAGTACTGCAATTATTTAATATATTTATTTCAAGAGAAACCCATATGTATAAAAACATAAGGTCTAAATATTGGGAAATTACCTCTTGGTGTCCGAAAAGAAGTTATCTGAAACATTAAATCAAGTAACTAGAAAGGAATTGTTTAAGTCATCAGTTATGCTTCAAAGTATACTAATACAGAGTATCAACTTCTGTTTTCAATTGATATTCGATTTTTTATTATATTATATGGTAAATAATGTCATAACCATATCACTAGTCACTGGGCTATTTACTTCACTGTCAATTTATTTCCCGATTCATTTCTGCAACAGTGAATTTATTTCTACCCTCTCGGCGACCGTCTCTTCCTTTAAATACTCTTTTGTTTCCTTTCTGGAACCCTCTAGAAACATCCGGATCGTTTTGTTTTTATTTTAACTGCTTTCCCAGAACGCAGACACGACACACACATTCACACATACGGCACACATGAAGAAAGGCGCCCGCGGCTAGTCGGCGAATCGATAAGCCGTTCACGTACACAAACACACTCGTGCTCGCTACACGGCCCCATTCTAAAGGATGTTTCATCCATAAACATTTTCACTTTCCGTTTCGCAGGATCATGCCGGAATCTGCAGTTCTCGCCTTCACGACATCCACTCCGGGAATAGAAGTAACAGTCCACGGTCTTCTCATGATTGGTCCGATTCTAGTTATTACTGCAAACCAAAATGTTTATTCCTGTACGGCAAAACAGGACTTCGATCATGTTCCGTACGATCCTCCAATCTAGGTTGTCCAGTCCACAACCAAGCTTCGGAATAGCCAGCTTCTGTAGGTAATTCTCCAGAAGATGTCCGCGGCGTTTCATTACTGCGTCCCAAAGGTCTCTAATAAGTTGGGTTATCAGAGCATCTTCCTTTAATTACTAGGTAATAGATATTGCGTCGTCCGTCAGATAGGCACAACAGTCTTCTTCCTTTCTGTACTTGGTCTTCAAGATGTTTCAAACCGCCAAATCTGCGTTTGAACTCGGTTGCGATACCACGGCTCATTCTGAGATCCTTTGACACGCAATGGGCCAGAGAATATTCCTTAGATATAGCAAAGAGGTCTCGTCTGATTTCTTGCGTCACTCCAAATCTCCTGTTATCATAGGGGCCTTCCTTTATGAACTCTTCGAATGTGGGCTCGGAAGGAATGGTTCTTAATAATCTGGGCCGCGTCTCCTCCTCATTTGCATCGGCGAATGGAGCCAAGCGATTAAAATGAACTACTTTCGACTTCCCGTTTGGAGTTTTCTTAATTCGGTAGATCACGTCATTAATCCTTTTCACTATTTCATAGGGTCCTTCCTAATTCTGTTGAAACTTAGGTGATAGTCCACAGCGGCGACGAGGATTATACAACCAAACAAGATCTCCAGTTTGGTAACCACCTGCTGTAGCCTTAGTTTCGTATAGTAGTTTTCTTTAATTCCGCCACTAGCAATCTACATATGCAGACGAACCGACTCATAGATATCGTTAAGCTTTCTGCGGAGGTTGGTAACATAATCTTCCCCAGCCAAGTCATCTCCTGGTTTACAGCCGAATTTGAGGTCACGAGGTAGCCGTAACTCCCTTCCAAAAAGTACTCTGGCAGGTGTTGGGTCAGTCATTTGGTAGACAAATGAACGGTATGCCGTTAAAAATAAAGGCAAATAGCGGTCTCAGTCCCTTTGGTGATCAGACACTACTTCATTCGCTCAACCATGCCGTCCGATTGTGGATGGAGTGGAGTAGTTCGAGTTTTCTTTATTCTCAGGAGCTCGCATATTCTACAGAATATAGCCGATTCGAAATTCCTCCCTTGGTCTGAGTGCAACTCCAAGGGCATCCAAAACGACTGATCAACTCCTTCACCAGCTCCTCAAGTGTAGTTTCCGACTACTAGTGGGCTTCAACCCACTTGGTAAAAAAGTCCATAACGACCATAATGTACTTGTTACCTTTCTCGGACTCTGGGAATGGACCTGCCACATCGATTCTTCCGAAGGGCCACCGACATTGTATTGACGCATTGTCGAGGATATACCAGTACGGGGGCTATGATTAAAGCCTGCTTCAAAGTCTCAAATGCCGTTTGACAAATCGTACAAGTATACCAAGCAGGTCTTTTCAATTTGATCACTCAATATTTTCTCCATCAACCTTTCGAACGTCGCCGGGGGATTGCATAACTCTAAAGGCATAACTGTAAACTGCCATAGGCTCGTGCCGATCGAGAATGCGGTCTTTTCCTCGTCGGCAGCATCTAAAGCAACTTGCCAGTATCCGCCCTTCAAATCGAGTGTGGAAAACATTTTCGAGCCAGAAAGCATATCCAAGGTGTTATCAATCCGTGGTAACTGTCTTTCTTGGTTACGTTGTTGAGCTGTCGGTAATCTACACAAAAACGGGTTGTCCCATCCTTCTTCTTTACCAATACTACCGGTGATGTCCATGGACTTGATGATGGTTCAATTATGCCGGTCTCCTGCATTTCGTGGATTATTCGCTCTGCTTCTTCCTTCTTGGCCAGGGGCAATCGTCTAGGCCTTTGGCGAATAGGCTGCGCATTACCAGTATTGATTTTGTGTTTTACGATATTGGTCCTTCCCGTACCATACTTGTCAGTCTCAAAGACGTCGGCATTCTGTCAAAATTAGATGTTGCACTTTGCATTTCTGCTCACTGGTTAGATTCCTACAATATCTGTCAATCACTCCACTTATTTCAACAGGTATTGTTTCAGAATTTACCTGCTATTGACGTCGAGTACTTGAGGAAGGACCACTTTTCCTACAATGCCTCCTCGTATGACCTAGTTAGTCGCAAATCCAACATCTTAGCTTTCGAGTTTCCTTATCGAACTTGGAGATGATCCTTTTCTTCACGCAGTAGCCAAACCCTTCCCTGTTTGCTATAGGCCCATGTAACAGTTTCGTACTGCAATGCACGAGCCAATGCATCCGCTAGCGTCTTAGGTCGGTCAAGGCGTATTAGTTGTTGAGTGTCACTTTGCCCGAATTCCATCAATAAATGCCTCCACTGTCAACCTTTCCATCAATTCTTCTGTAGTATTAGGATAGGCCAGTCGGGATAGTCTCCGAATATCGGCCTCGAATTCTTGTAGGGATTCCGTTGGTTTCTGCTGACGGGTTTTTAGTTGGATGTGATACACCGCTGATAAATGAGCCTCGCCGTAACGCAACTTTAACCGTTTTACGAACTGTTCATAATCCGCCAATTCTTCCGCGGAAAGGATGTTCAAAATGTCACATGTATCTCCACAAAGCGCAACGGTCAACCCAGTGGCTTTTTGTTCAGGCGCCCAGCTATTCGCCTTAGCAGCCGCCTCGAATTGCTTGTTGTATGTGGTTCATGAGGACTTTCCGCCAAACGTGGGTGGTTTTACTCGCGTTCTTGATTCTATACCGCTTCCTTGGCTGACTTCGTTGAGTGTACTAGATGCGCCAATATGCCTTTCAATTGGTTTTGTCTTTTCATTAAAAATCATTTGTTCCAGCACTTTTATCTTCTCTTCTATTTCTTGAATATTCTTATTAAATTTTAATTACAAATTACAAACATACTCGTGCTCGCTACACTAAACTTCACTGCGGGGAAATGTATTCTGGATTTATAATAAGAATAGGTTTTTGACGAAATTCACCCAGGTCATTGAAACAAGTCAGAAGTTGTGTGGAAGGAATTGCAATTAATAACGAATCGAATGGTTTGTTTTTCATAGGTAGATTGCTAGAAAAGTTCTCGCCCATGATAATGGCCATAGAACATTCTAGCACTAAGGTGACCGTAGATGTCATTAAAACAAATTTCCCGATTTAGAAACCGGAACGACCACGAAAGTGAGAGCGCCTTTTCAGTATCAACAGGCATACAAACAAATGGCTGCTGGTAATAATAAAGATTGCGTAAAGTCAAACGCAAACAGAATAGTAAATGTTGTCGTTGCAATCAAATAAGACATTACCTAACAAAATGTCCAATAATAACCTTAAGCCGAACAACAGAAGTGAGAACCGAACAGACCAATACATTGTCAGTCGTATTTTAGAACAAATATTTTAGAAGAATGACTGATAAGTTGACTTTTAGGTCAGTGTTCATCTAACAGCTCAGATAAAGATTACTAAAAATTATCGAAAAGGCAATAAAATAATTGTTTTGGCAGAACAAAAAGTAGTTTCAGTCTCACATTCTGGCGATGTTGAAATCGCAACATCATTTAATGGCAATGAATCAGACATAAACAATAACTAACCTTCTTTCTGTAAGTAAATTTATCTAAAAAGGAAATAAACTAATCTTCAGAGATAACATTTGTTGTTTGTTTAATGGTGTTTACAAATTGAATGCAAATGGAAACTTGGTTACTGTAGTAAATCAGGAAAATCAAAAATGCCTTCGTAGATTAAGACATAAGAACAGTGATTGCTTAATAAAGATGAAGGGTGGAGTAGTAGAAATGGATTCCGAAGAGAAGATAGACTTAGAGAAATTTTTTCTTTTATGCAGAGGCTAATTTTTATACAGGGTGTAACAAAGGAACTGGGGAGCTTGCAGGAGGTAATACGGCACTATAAAATAAGGAAAATTTTTTTTTGAGAAAAACGCAGTTGCAGATAAATCAATTTCGGCACTGGTATACGACCCTCTACGCCGCACTCAATCAACTAGTAATTACCAACATCAGTGTAGTATTAGTTTTGAATTTTTTCGCCCATATATTATTTGTTTGCTGGATTAGATTAAGTGTTATTTAGGGTGCTTATGATAACAGCCAACTATCATTTTACGGTTTAAGCCTTGTATGAGGCAACCGATGTACAACTCAATAAATTAATTCATCAATAGAATATTAATCATTAGGGTGGATCAGTTTGTCATTGTACAACAGTTGTTGTTAGAATAATGTGACATGACACTTATTTACTGGTTTGAACCATATCGCCGCAATAGGGATGAAATCCTTGATTTTAAAGAAAACAATCCCCAAAATACCACACGCGAAATGGCAAGGAAAGTTTGGTCGTTTCATGTGATAGTGTGGCAAATATTAAAGGAAGAGTTGCATCATCCTCATCATTTACACCTAGTATAAGCTTTGCTTGAAATAGGTTTTCATCCACAATTTGTGTCGATGGTTTCGAAAGAAAAATTCTAATGATGGCCTAATCTTTGAAGAGGAGAGTTCTTCAGATACATTTATTACTGAGGAGTGAACGTAAATCTACAGTTACACCTATCACGCTTGGGTCGGTGACGTTAAATCAGGTACACTGGGCTATGCTTGACATCAAGCGCCCTTCAACAGGTGATCTCATAAAAAAGATTTAGATCCCACGATATATATTAGGTTTCCTTATATCTGTTTATATACAAGTATATCCAAATTTCTGATCTTATTATATACAGAATGTTTTACGGTGACAGTTCATAAAAATATTTCAGAAATTTAAAATTTGAAAATTTGTACAATATCTTTATTAGGTATGGTCTGAACTAAAATAACGGCAAGTTGACATCAATTTCGTTATTTTTGATGGAACACCCTGTATATTATGGCGGTTTTAAATTCTATGTATGATTCTAGGTAGACTTTCATAAAGCTCTCCTACTTCTAAAATTTACCGCATTCCAGACGTTCATTGTTTTTTAAAAGTAGCAGAGAATTGTAGGTGGCTAAAGGGCATGCCTATTTTACAGTAAGAAAGCTGAAGTAACAACATTATCAGGAGAGACAGCTTATATTCTCAAATTTCTCCTCCATACTTTCAAAGTGGGTTAATTACATACATACCTTTTTCGAATTTCTAAATTATATACATTAATTAAAGCCAATTTGATGCTTGCATCTGCTACTTTCAATAGGTTAATGGACACTGTCGATAAGAACTGAACTGAAAAATTAATTTGGCTTACTCAAACGACATTAGCAGTCATCTGTTAATTTCTTTATTGTTTCAAAAGTATTTTACTAAAGTACCCAATGACGTATTACTTTCTGTCTTGTACTGGGGATAACACACCACCAAGTCCCACATGAACTGTGGATGTGTCAAGATTGGGAGTAGAAGGTGGCAGGGTCTTCTGAAACGGTTGTTTGGTTTAGGGGCGATGTCGGAAAGTGTCGAGATGGACGGGTTTGGGTGACCTAATTCTGAGGCCCGGAGATTAGCCGCAAACGTAACTGCTGCCTCGGGGATTTGGATGTTTCTGATGAACCAGGGATAGTTGAGTACGGAACGAAGAATCCGCATGTAAGTGCCTTGAAGAATTTGTAAGCAGTGGGAATCGGCACAGCCCCAGGTGGAGATGTCATAGGAGCAAATGCTTTTGATAATTGCGTTGAACGCACGTATTTCTGTTTGAAGAAAGATGGAGCTGTTTTGAAAGACGGGCTTAAGGGAGATAAAGGCGGCTAGGGCCTTGACATGGGTGCACGGATGTGCTTTCGCCTTTTGTCAGTAGTCTGTCGAAGACGACGCCGAGGTAAGTAACGGAGTTGCTCCGTTTGATGCGGTGGTTGTTAACGGTGATGGCGGGAGGTTTTCGGATCCTACGGGAGAAGAAAATTACTTTCGACTTGACCACGTTAATGGAGAGTTTCCACCTTTGGTACCAATTTAGTAGCAGGTGCAGAAACTTGTTAATTTTTGCGAAGCACTGAAGAATGGTTTGGACGGAGTTTATGAGAGCGATGTCATTGGCGTAAAGGGCTGTGACGATCGATGGATGGGATGACGTGTCGGCGTAGAAAAGGTTGAACAGAAGAGATGACAACTCGGAAAGTTGGGGGATACCAGATGTGACGGGTTTACTTGGGGATAAACCAAAGCTAACGCGGACACAAAGGGTTGTGTCAGAGAGGAAGGAACGGATGACCCCGATTAGAAAATGTGGGGTGTTGAGGGCGATAAGTTCGGTGATGAGACCTTCGTGCCAAACTCGATCGAAGGCTTGATGAATGTCGAGCAGAAGCATGGAAGTGTGGCGACGCTTGTTTAGGTTGTCAGAGATGTGTTCGGAAAGGCGAAGATGTTGATGGCCGGTGCCGTGCTGTCTCCAGAAATCATGTTGAAAGTCGGGGAGTAGGTTGTTTCTCTCCAGGTAGTCGAGAAGCTGGTCCAAAATGATAGTTTTAATAACTTTTCTTAGCGAACTGCGTAGGCTAATAAGCTTATAGCTTGATGGAGAGCTGAGGGGCTTCTCTTTTTTGGGGAGACAGATAACGGTAGCTTATTTCCAGACCGGAATGGAGCCGCATGATAGCGTTTGCGATGTTGCAAAGTGCTGTTATGTGTTTTGATGGCAGAACTTTTAGTACACCATTGGGAATGCTATCCACGCAGGGGTATTTTCTTTCTTTCAGAAATCGAATGGTGAGGAATATTTCACAGGGTATGTGTGTTTAAAGTCAGAAACAGTTAAGATGAAGTTTTGGGAGGCGACGTTGGTTTGCTCAGAGCTAGGAAGTGGGAAGCACTAGAGTCAAAGAGAGTCTACGAATATTGCATCGTTTTCCTCATCTGAAGTAAATACAGAGCTGTATTGTCTTTTAGTTGAAGTGATTGTTCTTTTTATACCATTCTGCGTTGGTAGAAGGGGGCGGGGCTTAAATGTCACTCATGCGCACTCGCTTATTTTCTTATTAGGATGTCAAGACACCTAAATACAATTCGGACGAATGAAGTTGCCGGGCTGTCGCTCAGGTACTTTCAGTAGGTGTAAGCTACTGTATTAATAAAGATAGGACTGTAGCGTACTAGGAAATAATATGAAAACATAACTTTCCAAAAAACAAAATAAGCATACTGCTTTTGTTTGTTTCGTAGTTAGATTTCACATTCACTATCCTCATCGGAATTAATATCACTGTTACCGACATCAACAATTAGTTCTTCTGTTTGTATGTCTATTACTTGCTCATTATCCAACATAACATTTAAATAAATAACGTTAAGCTAAATTATTACGCCTATTCCTTTTTTATATAAACTTTTAAATATCTATAACAATAAAATCAGCCCAATAAGTTATTTTTTTCAATTTAATGTTGTAAACTGATCCCTGCTTTTAAATATTTAATCTACATCCCTGATAGCAATACTGAAGAAGGAGGGCTGCAATTGTTATCACTAAAACTGCCTACTTTTGCCACAGCGCATTCACATAATTTTAAAATTTCCGCCAGCTTAAAGCATCATTCCTGTAACTCCAACGTTGTTGAGAGTATTATCTACCAGTAGACAAATTGCCAACAGTAATTGGGAAAAGGTAGACCAATTACCAACGAATGATTATAACTGAAGCTGTCGCATTAGGTAAGAGTAAGAGGGGACTTTCGAATCCCCATGATAAAGAGCCTGATATGACTCTAGTCAACCTAACGAACAGTTACTATCCACAGACAAAATGAACATCATGAAAAAGGGAGGCAATTTTGGAATAGTGATTAGTGTATTAAGTAATGTATTAGTTTGACGTGCGTAAAACCAGGGGCCCGGGTCCAATTCCCGGCAAGAGAGTGACAACAGCAATAATTTTTCCTCATTAATTTGAGGTTATCTGTAGTGGGTAGATTTAATTCAAAAATTTATCCCAGTAGTTATTGTTGCTATTGCTCTATATATTTATAATCCTACATATAACATCTATAATATCCTCATTTTATTACTTTATTTTAATAGCCTGTTAGCAATCAAATGAATAATGAGGAAGCTTTTCAAGAAAAATCAAACTATATCGATAGGTCGTTCGAATAATGCTGATACATTAATCACCTTCTACGATTAGACGACTGAATCGATCATTGGATGCAGCAACTGATGTGACCAATCACGTAGCAGTATTTACAACTGGCTTTTTAACGCCGCGAGAAGTCAAATACGCAACCGATGAACATAAAACGTTTTTCATATTTGGCACGCGTAATACTGTATTGTACTGAAGGTTTAAGTAAGATCTAATTGGAAATACATTATTTTTTGCTACAATAGGTCAAAAATTAACTTTTTTAATAAAATACAAACATGTAAAATCTACAGAGGAAGCCACTGTGGTGACATAATATAACTGTGGTTTAACAATAAATGTTTTGGAACTTTTACGTTCTTTATTGCAAAAATTGAAAGCTTCGTCGATTCAATAGTGAACTTTAAAATAAAGGTATTCGCGTGCTAGGAGTGGTACCGTTCGAATGAATTTGGCCTACCCTACAACTGAGTAGGATCCTTTAGAAAATGTTTACTTTTAAAAGGAGAGGAACACGTCCTGCTTTTTAAATGTATGTGAATTTAGCAAAGTCCATGGGACAGTGACAGATAATCATTATTATTACCCGTGTCTCATATTATAGACCATTGAAAACCGTAGAGACCACAGGTCAGTGCTTACGCTGCCTATTCGGTGGTCCGGCATTATTATTTACCATGCTCAATGAACAGAAATAACTTTCCCTGTTCTTTGTTATAGGTAACCTGGTGTGATTTACTATTCGCGGCATCACTAGAAAGTTTCGAAAATGTTTTTGGGAAAACCGCCTTGGAACAATATCCATCTTTAAAAGCTCTGAAGGAAAGTGTGTACAACATTCCATCTATAGCTGCTTGGGTAGCCAGGCGTCCAGTTACGGATTCATAGATTGAATAATCCAAACACAAATTCGGATCTAAACTTAAGCATTGTTGTAATTGTTGTAATTACTTGTGAATAAGTACATGAATATATTTTGTGTTGTGTTGTACTTTTTATATTTCATCGAATAATTGTAAATATACTGGGTGTTTCTGAAATAAGTAGCAAACTTGTAGCAGGTGATAGGACACTACAAAAAAATTTAGTAAATATTAGGTGTCCCGAAAGTTCACCGTTTTTGAGAAAAAGGTATTTAAAAGTACAGATAAAGGCTAGTTCGACCCTGTTAATATTACGCAGGGAAATACAACAATGCAACTCCACTTTCAATTACCTGGTAAGTAGCAGGATCCGTGTTGCATTTTTTTGTATGTTTTACACATGCATTGCTTTGACTAGATTAAGCGTAATTGTGGATTTTTATGTTACAGTCAATCTAGAGTACTTTTTTGTTCCTTCAAGCTTGTATATAGATATGAAGTTAGTCGAAATCATTGGCATCAGGTCAGTGTATCAGTCTCATAAATCAGTGCAAAGTAGTATATAAACGCTGGATTGGGCGTACGGGTCATGTACATTGGCCAGCGCCTAGTCCGGGTCTAAATCCACTTGACTTCCCTGTATAGGGTTCTTTTAAACACCGTGTTTGTCAAAAGTCAGTGCAGAACGTTAATGATTTACACGATCGTCACCTCTGCAAATGAAGTAAGTCAAATGCCAGACGTTCTTGCACAACTCAGAAATAATTTATATAGCTAGACGTGTCTGATCCTGTCTTTCAGCACGGGGTTCTAATATCAAACAATTTCTCTAGGGTTCCTACGTACTTATGAGTGTTTGTTTACTAGCGTTATAATCAATTTTTTTTCCAATAGGAGGATAGTGCTATTGGCGAACCACCCGTAAATAAAGTAACGCACCTTGACAATATCCCAATCGTTGTTTGAAAATTTAGCTTACAATTAATAAAGCTACAATTACCTATACCGAGATTATTAATTTACCTCCTAATGTTAGATAACGTTAATTTTTTCTTTCTGTGGTGTTCTCATGTGTAGTGTTAGCTTTTAAATTTCTATCGTTTCTTCTATCTTTTTTACAACACAATTTCCCCTTCTTCGTTCTTCTTTTCCATCTCGTTTTTAATACCATTGATCATTACCTGTATTCTTATATGTAATGCTCCTTTTACGTTCCCTATTTCTGTTTTAATTTCCTTTCTTTATTTCTTTTTTAGCTGCTTTTAATTATATTTTCATTTTTTGTGACCCTATTTCGTTTCTTGTTCTTTTTCCATTTTTTTCATTTTTTAAAGCATTTATTTGTTCCTCTGCTTTACTTCGGTGCCCTTCGTTGTAATAGGCATGAAATATCTCGATTTCTTCAAGAAGGCTCTATTAAATCCTTTGATTCCGGCAAAACCGTTCTTCTTTCTTCGCGAGCTTTTTAACAATATCTGACTTTGTAGGGTTTTTCGTGATCCGTGGAAGCTTCCAGTGATATATGATTTGTTAGGGATTTTCACAGGCAATAGAAGCTGCGAGAAAGTTCGATAAAATTCCTTCAAGACGTCGAATTCATTCTTCTCGTACCGAGAGCTTTCTGAAGATATATAACTTGCTACAGTTATTCACAATCCGTGATTTTTCCAGAAGATTTAACGAAATTTTTCAATGACGTCAAATTCGTACCTCTGAGTTCTAATTTGGTTTGTTGTGATAGTTTACTATCTAAAATCTCGTCCTTTTATCACTTCTATCTCTTCCCTTTTCAGTTTTCCTTCTCGAATCCTCTTCAACCCCACTCCCGCTAATTAATTTAACTGGTTTATACTTTAAAACGAACAAATTAGTCTGAGATGTAATTTTAGGATTATATAAATTCTAAAATAGGTATTAAAAAATCCGCACGCGTAATACTGTATTGTACTGAAGGTTTAAGTAAGATCTAATTGGAAATACATTATTTTTTGCTACAATAGGTCAAAAATTAACTTTTTTANACATTGATAAAATGTGTTGTTTTATTATTTCAACTTGCCTAAAATACCTTCCCAAATTAAGTATAAGGAATCATAATTTCTATAAAAAATTATAGTGTTATAGCAAAATTGAACTGCTGCTGAAAAATAATTATGTAAAAGTTCGTTATGTTGTATACCAGAAGTTTAGAACTGCTATAAAATTTCTGTCAGATTGCTTTGTGTGTTATAGAAATTCTTTAAAATGTTCCTAGAACAGACATTGCTCTATAAAATTTGCTCTTGAAACGTTCTTAGGATATTTATAGAACACGAAATTGTTAGCTGGGTCCTCTCGAGCGGCAATTGTAAATTCGGCCGATTTAATGGATTTTTGTGAATTCCAGTGGTAAATTCCGCCGGAAACGTTTCGTATCCCTCAAAAATACCACTACCGCACTTGAGGTTGTGACCGGGTTACCTCGCTGGGTGGTTTAAATGAATACTGGTACCACAACTGGACGTAAAAAAATCCATAAAAGCTTAAACTGGACAAGCTAAATAGACGTCATTATTAGAATAACTTTACCTCAGACTCTGATAAATGATGAATTATCCTCCTGTAGGTTTTAGGTTTCTTTTACTTGGGCATAGGTTTCATTAGAAAGACCTTAAGGCAGTAATATAAAAATATTAAGCATTTGACAATTACATTAATTAAAAAGCAAATAAGAGATTTAAATAAAATTAATCAAATATAATTAATTGACTGAGCGCCAAAACAATATATACTAAAATTATTTTCTTAGCAAAATACCTGTGGTTAAACCCAAAAGTGGGACGGTATTGATTTAAACTAATTTAGAACCATACTAAGTTGACAATTTTGAGCAGTACTGTACAGTACACTTCGAAATATTTTATTCGACTAAGCTAACGTGCCTATCACGTTGAGGTTGGCTACGCCGGGATTCGTTTTCAGCATACATAATCCTAAAATGTAGCATCGTGCTACAGATGGCGTTTACTGCGCCATTTGTAGTATTTTCTGATTGACATTTCCATCGAGCAGAAAAATCTTTGGTGGGGATAAAAACGTAATTCCAATGACCAAATGACGTAGACGCATAATCAACGGTCGATAACATATATAAAAACTAAGATTTGATACCTTCAATTGATTATTTAGGATTGATTAAAATGTATCGGGATTTTTTGCAGAAAAATAGTCATTAAAAGGCAGATGTGATCGCTCTATATCTATATCTAGGTCAGGGTAAACGTACAAGGTTACGTATGCAAATAGGTACATAAATAAATAACTGATTTATTAATATAAATGGCTTTCTGCGATATCCCTACATTTCTGTCGTACCTATGCTTATAATATTTTACTATTCCTTGTGGGAAATGGTTTGGGTTAAATCGCTTCAGTCATTAAACGAATTTCTTTACTTTTCAGCTTAAGTACTCGTATATAGGAATGTAGTCAGTAGCGTGTTCGTTTCAACCGCTATAGTGTTACGTACGTTAGTCCAGATGTTCAATTTTGATAAACAAATTACTCTCATAAATTCCAGCAATGTTGCGTTTAAATTTACTGGTAAATTGGCAGTTATACCGAGTATGCAGCTTTATCGTACGAATGGCTGCGTGTTACAGTCGTATTTTGGTATTCCACCATACGTTTATCTTTCGTTGGTTAGCTAATAGAATCTGTTATGTAAGCAATTTATTTTCGTCTTTTTTATCTCAAAGAAGACAAGTGCATCGTACACAAGCACGTTAACCCATATACAATATGTACAGGATGGTTATTTTTCGAGTCGTGGATTTCTCTAACAAATTGAGCAGACACTATATAGATAATATTTTTTTCTACTTAGTGTTTGAGAAAATGAAAAACATCAATTTTGTAGTTAGATTGCTGTTTGTTAAATATTTTTGTTTATTTTGTTTTAATGTTATTTCTGCAGTTTCGTTCATCTCTTTTTACTACAAACAGTGAAAATTTTATTAGTTTAAAGTAGGTACATCATCTTTAAAATTAATAGTTTTGGTTAATCATCTAAGACAAAGAATTTATAGCTTAAAGAAAACTGAAACACGAAACGCTTATATGGGCGGCGCACTGAAAAGTAAAGAATAGATTTCAATTAATTAGGTGTTAGGTAGTTTACTATCGTGTTATTTAAAGTTTTACTTTCATTTAACCTTTTTATTTTGTTCACAAAATTTTCACATATAATTTAATCAATGTAAAAAAATGCGCTTTATATTTCTGGCAAAGAAAGTAAGACTATTTCGCGAGCGTATTTTTTTCTCATTTTTGCAATTTTGAATAAACCGGAACTTCAATGCAAAAACTCGCTTCAGCCAAAGCCATTTTAAATCTGAAAATATCGTTCTCTACATGCGATGTTAAAACTATTTTTAGGCATATCTAGTAAATTAAAATTAGATTTTCCCGTTCGCCCAATCAGAAAAATAATCAGTGCGGTCCGTTGCACCAAACTCAAAAGTTGATACACGGACGTTAGTGATTTCTTTCCACCGCTTTTTTATTTGTGGAGTCACTCTAAATTATCCCACGATATTTTTTTTACCAAAACTTTTGAAATAGAATTTATAATTTGATAACGCAAAAACCAAGCAACCCTATAAGATAATATACTTTGGATATTTCTGAAAGTAATACTCGTTTTGTCATTTCCACGCTATCACAAGACCGAGTGATTCTACAACGTAAATGGCTCAAAATCATCAAGGTGCAGAATTTGCTTTGCTAGCAATTTAATGTCTTAAATCTTGACTTTATTGAGAAAAGAAAATTAATAAAATACTAGAACTAACCTGTTTTGTGTGTACAAATAATACGATTTATTAAAGAAGTACATTTTAAATTAAATCAATATGAATGCAGAGAAAGTCATTCCGGGAACGCGTCCTAGTGCAAGACCTTCAACAAAGTCCAAAATATTAATGAAAAATTTCAGGTATTCAACTCCCGTCATTACTTGATATACCGTATTTTTTATACAAAATCTAGTTTCGGAAAGGATACAAAAAGATTATTATTTTTTAATTATAAAAATGCAAAAATAGTTTGTCCGATAGCGCATAAGTCATTTCAGTGAACGCATTAATAA